GCACTCTACCAAGGGTAACAAAGTGAGACTCTGTCTCTAAAAAAAAAGAAAGAAAGAAAGAAACTAATACCCCTAAGAAGGAAGCAAACTGGTAAGACAATGTGGGTGGTGGAGGATTATAAAAATCATGTTCTACATTTTTTTTTTTTTGAGAGAAAGTCTCACATGGTCACCCTTGATAGTGTGCTATGGCATCACAGCTTAGCAACCTGAAACTCTCGGGCTCAAGTGATTCTCTTGCCTCTGCCTCCCAAATAGCTGGGACTACAAGCACCTGTTACAACGCCCAGCTATTTTTTTTTTTTTTTAAAGAGACGAGGTCTTGCGGTGGTGCCTATAGCTCAGTGGGTAGGGCACCGGCCACATACACTAAGGCCAGGTTCAAACCTGGCCCGAGCCAACTAACAACAACTGCAACCAAAATCTACCTTCACAGTCCTTTGGATTTACATATTCTGGATATTTCATATAAAGAAAATCATTCTATATGTAGTTTTTGTGATTGGTTTTTATCACTGAGCCTCATGTTTTAAAGATTCACCCATACTGGTATGCAACAGTACTTCTTTTTTTTTTTCTCTTTTTTTAGAGACAGAGTCTCACTATGTGGCCCTTGGTAGAGTGCTGTGGAGTCACAGCTCATAGCAACCTCCAACTCTGGGGCTTAGGTGATTCCCTTCCCTCAGCCTCCCGAGTAGCTGGGACTACAGGCACCTGCCACAACGCCTGGCTATTTTTTTCCTTGCAGTTTGGCTGGCGCCAGGTTTGAACCCACCACCCTTGGTATATGGGGCCGGCACCCTACTTACTGAGCCACAGGCACCTCCCAGTACTTCATTTTTTTTCTTGCTGAATAACATCCATTATATGGCTCTACCACATTTTGTTTATCCATTCATCAGATGATTCGTTAATGTAAGTTGTTTCCACTTTGGAGCCATGCTGCTATAAACATTTACACACAAATTTCTGCATAGACGTGATTCTTTCAACTTACCTTTTTTTTTTTTACTTTTACTTTTTGGTTTTATAAGTACAGTTTTTAATGCTCTCAACTTTACATGACATTACAGTGTATGCACAAACAATTCAGGAATCAATTTTTTTGAGTACATATTTATGGAGTGAAATTGCTGGGTTATATGGTAACTTTATGTTTAAGGGTTTTTTTTTGTTGTTTTTTTTTGAGACGGAGCCTCAAGCTATCCCCCTGGGTAGAGTGCCATGGCATCACACTCACAGCAACCT